AGAGAGAGAGAGAGAGAGAGAGAGAGAGAGAGGGGGAGGGAGGAAGAAAGAGAGAGATGCCCACAAAACTCGTAAAAAAGGACACAAATCTCGTTCTCGCGGTGTGCAGCCATAATATTAAAGATTTTTTTTCTGTAATCTAAAGACATCCTCGTGTTCTTGTCTCTGGCAAGTGTCTACTTTTCAGACCACATGGCGGTATGCGGGTGGTCTGATGGCCTGACTACTCTACAGATGCCTTGTGAAAAGAATATTCCTTACGACTTTGTAAGAGAGAGAGAGAGAGAGAGAGAGAGAGAGAGACATACAGACAGACAGACAGACAGACAGACAGACAGACAGACAGACAGACAGAAAGAGATCAGGAAGAACGAGAGAGAGAGAGCAAGATAGAAGGATAGAAAGATAGATCGATAGATAGATAAATAGATAGATAGGTAGATAGATAGATAGGAGTAGTAAAGATACCCGCTTTGACTTCCTGAAAGTGAAATTGGTTGCACATCTTACACACACCAACCATCCTAGAGCCAATCTGCTAACCCCGTGCACATTGAATGAAGCAATATAAATACAATGAATAAAAAAAAAACGGCTCTACAGCGTAGATGCAACATTTTTCTCTGCCTTTTTCTCTTGTTTTATTTTGTTTGTTTGCTTTTTAGCAAAAACTACAACACTAAGTGACCCGCCTTCGAAATAGATTATATTATTCATTGCAAAATAATACTCTTCTGTTTATAGGCCTAGAGGACCTTGCCCTCCCTTCGCGGCTGATAACTACAGCTCCCACTTCCGGTTTTATTGTATACTGGTCATTTACATGTCTGATGTTTGTTCCAATTACGGATATATCTCATAATTCAGAGAGAGGGTTTTATTTTCTTTTTCTTGTTATTCATCCCGTACTTTACGCTTTTATTTTGTTAACCTTGCGCCCCCGTCCCGATAATTGCGATTTCATTATACCTTATGTCAGTTAATGTTGTCATAAAAACCTTAACAGGGATGTCATCTTCTTTCTGCAGTTTATGTGATGCTGGGTGACCCCTACGAGTTCGTGGGTCTAATGGACCATCTCCAGATAGTGGGGCTGCTGGACACTGGTGACTACTTCGTGGTGGGAGTGACCAGAGATACGTATGAGCTAGAACAGCCGCAGGAGTTCCTGCAAGGTAATACGTCTCCAGTTAGTTTCGTGAAACATTCCACATACAATATTTAAGATCGTATTGAAAAGGTTTCCATGAGGTGTTTCTTCAGCTCTGAACAGTTCCCAATGACTTCTAGTTCTGAGCTGAAATATACTTTATACCCTCATTGACACGATTTATATCATAAATGGGAGGCGAGCAGTTTTTAAAACACAAACCAGGGCTAACCGTATCTTATAAAGGATATTTCTAGTTTAAAAAAAGAGATGCTAGGTAAATCTTCCTAGCAAGGGTATACCAAACTCACAATCTTTTCGAACACACGAAACAAAGTGTGCAACACAAATTTTTTCCTTGCAAACGCTACAATATGTACGAGCTACTTTCTTTCATGGGCTGGGCTACACATATTATACATTAGCAGAATAACTTAATTGCACTGCAGTTCACACACACACACACACACACACACACACACACACACACACACACACACAATAATCAAACTCATGTCTTTTCCACGATACGTCGGAGCGCCAAACAACCACATCACAGACGCCACTACACCATGTGTGAGAATGATGTAGTTTAATGTGTAATTGTAATCGTTTCAAGTCCCCATCTAAACAATTTAGGCCACTTAGGAGGCTGACTGCTGCAACACTGCCTGCTAGGGACAGGCCCAAATTACCTGAGTAGGGTACAGCATCCCAGGAGACAGAACTCGATGGAATAAATTTCAGTAAGAAAGAATTAAATTTGCGTCTTCTGTGTGCATAGACGAAGAGACTAACGGTTTAAGAGGTGAATTCCAAAGGACCTGCTGCTGCATCCTTAAATTTTAATAATGGAATATGTCTTTCAGGGTCTTATATTTTGGTTTTTATGACATAACTTGTTCTGTCACGAGCTGTCATATTTTCGAGGAGCTAAAAAAATAGAAAATGATTAGACTCGGTGCCGCACAAAAGCAACCCAAAAAAAACAACCAAACCTAACAAACAACAACCCTCCAAACAGCTCAGTTTGATTAAGACGACAAAAGTTTATGTTTAATACATATAGCAACGGCATTAGCAACAACAACAATAACAACAGCAACAATATCAACTACAACAACAGCAACAACATCAACAACAACAGCAGCAGAAGCA